GGCTCTGCAACTTACCTGGCTGCTTCTTGCTCTGACTGAGGGCTGCTGGGAGAAGGGGGTGGGGCTTGTTGCATGTGCCTGCCCCCTGGGCTCTTTACTGCCGGAGCTCCGCTCCTGTGCGCTCCTGCAGGAAATGACCCCTAGTGTGCTGTATTCTGCATTCAGCCACCCACTGATTTCAAAGCCAGGACAGTGTGTGTTCTTTTGTTTAGAGACCTATGAGAAAAACATCATTGTCTTGTAACAGGTAAGGCAACATTTCAGAGTACAGCTCTGTCACGTCATTGTGTGAAACAGCTGGCCCTGTACTGTAGGAGGTTTTCGTCTTTATGCGCACAAATTGACAGTAGGGATGATGCATCAGCGCCACATTCCAGAGAGAGAACGACACCTCTAGGAGCGCACGTTCACATTTTTAACAAGGCATTTCTCAACAAGGCAAAAATGGGGACAGTGGTTTACAGGGACAGAGCCCAGAAAACTGAGGCCACAAATAGTGACGGTCAGCTGGAATGAATGACCATTCACAATGCAGGGTCTGACCTACAAAATCACAGATTGTCTGATCTCACCATCCTGTCTAACAACAACTACATGCAGAGAACTCCTTGGTTCAGATTTCAGCTCAGCCAGGAATTCTTTGGGCAACCGGGCTTGCATTTTACAGGGTTGTTCAGGAAAATGGCAATTTTTTTTGCTTTTCTGAACTACACACCTATAGGGTTTGGGGATGGGAACAAACTAAAACTACGAGTAGCAATAAAAATGTGTTTTTTTAAAAAAAAAGAAAAAAAAAAGAAAATGGCATTTTTGTAAGTAACCACTTCCTAGGCAAAAAACAACAACAAACCCAACAACAACCATATGCAATTCTGCAAAGTATTGCCCACAATATGTCAGCTTTGTGCATAGAAGGTCCCATGGCCAAACATGAGACATCAGTGCCATAGCTAGGATCTTGAGTCCAGTAGCACCTTAAAGACCAACAGTCTTGGTCCAAGGTATAAGCTTTCAAGAGTCCAAACTCCCTTTGTTCTGAAAAAGTGAGCTTCGAGGAGCTACGGGACTCAAATCTCACTCTTCTTCTACTGACCAACATGGTTACCCACCCATCTGAAACTAACACAGTTAGGATCTGGGGACTCTCAGACAAGATATGTACAAAGAACAGAAAAAGAGTTTATTCTGGAGTAGGTGAGTCATTCATCTAGTCCTGTATCTTCCTGACTTGGATATCCCAGTCTAGCCCAATCTCATCAGATTTTAGAAGCTAAGCAGGGCCGACCTTGGTCAATCCTTGGATGGGAGACCACCAAGATACTCTGGGTTGCTACACAGAGTCAGGCGGTGAATGGCAAACCACCTCTGAATGCCTCTCGGCTTGAAAACCCTCTGGGACCGCCATCAATTGGCTGTGACTTGACATCACTTTCGACCCCCATCACCTGCCCTGGAGGCTCACAGCAGCAGTACAGGTGCCAAATCCTGTACAGGTGCCAAATCCTGTACAGGTGCCCACCCAACCCCACTGGTATTCAGAGGGATCATGTCTCTGAACATGGAGGTCCTGTGTCAACACCACGACTGATTGCCATGCAGTCTCCAGAGTCTACCAGGCACTGCCTGTGACCTGCAAACATTATTTCATTCCAAATGCATTATTTCAATGCTGGCTTCATGTTTAAGTGCACACGTCCCGTCCCTTCCTCCCCTCTCCTGCCCCAACCAAGCTGCAGACACAGTTATTGGTATGCTTATCATTTCCGTCCTTGCACCCTATATTTTACATTTTGCCTATCTAATAACAGTGGGGAGCGTCTCACGCCCATGCTAAGTGAGCTGACTATTCTTTGAACTGGATCTTGTTTTGAACTGGCCTCTCTTTGTAACATCCTCCCCACCACCTTTCCGTGGTGTACATAAAATTAGATTGATGGATTTGCACTTCAATGCGCCTGATGAAGTGAGCCCTAACCAAAGAAAGCTTATGATGGAATGAATTTCGTATGGTGTCGCCAGAGTCCTGTTTGATATTGTCAAGATGCTGCTGCTCTAATCAGGGAGGGACCTACATTAAGAAACCTAATGTTTTAATAAACCTAGTGCATACTGCAGAAGCCTACTTCAGTCCTGGGGCAATTCGCCTCTGCCCTCTCTATTATGCAGCCATACCATTGGGGACCAAACCATCCAACACATGTCCTTCTGAGCGATGACTATCCAGTGAAGAATAGAAGGGCCCCAAGCAAAGTCCCCTTAGCAAATCCCCTGGGAATATGGGTGCTACGTCTGCTTCCCCCGGGTGATGTTCCTAATTCCACTAATAACTTGAATGGCCAGGTTGTTGATGGGCGCCCCTAGGTGGGAGCACACCCGACCTATGCTGAAAGCGCTGCACTGGCTCCCTATAGCATACCGGATTCGCTTCAAAGTGCTGGTGCTTACCTTTAAAGCCCTACATGGCCTGGGTCCGACATACCTGAGGGACCGCATTTCCCCACATATTCCCCAAAGAGCACTTTGGTCGGGGTCACAACACTGGCTGGTGACCCCGGGCCCTAAGGAGGCCAGGCAGGCTTGCAACAACGAGGGCCAGGTCCTTTTCAGTGGCGGCTCCTGTCTGGTGGAACGAGCTCCCGGAGGAGATCAGGGCCCTGCTGCGGGACATTTTGCAGTTCCGCAGGGCCTGTAAGATGGAGCTCTTCTGCCACGGCTATTACCACCACCACTCCTCCATAGAGTGGCACCGCCGGAGGACTGTGTAACACCCGATTGTGGCCCTAGTCTTCTCCTCTGCTACGCAAAATGCGGGAGTTCTCTCTTCTCTTTTCTTGCATCCTGATAGAATTGCATTTTTAATTGCTTTTATCCATTTTATATATTGTATAATTTATATATATATATATATATGCACTTTGTGCTCGTGTAAGCCGCCCTGAGCCCGTTTGCGGGAAGGGCGGGGTATAAATGCAATGAAAATAAATAAATAAAATAAATAAACGTCTTTCTTTCCTCCCCAGCTGTACCTGCTGCTGAAAACTTTGGAAGTGGAAGCGAAAGGAACCCACTGACCCACCATGCTGTCCCTCAGCTCTATGAAAGGTAATGGATATTGTTGAGAGTTCCCCATGTCCCCGAGTGGCAAGGAAATCCGAGAATAGTACAACAAGCGGGAAGATGATAGAGCTCAGGAGACTTGTGCAGTCTTGGCAGGATCTGCTTGCTTTAAGAGTACATAAAGCAGAGAGATTCCTCCAGCTCTTCCCACTTCTGTGGAGAATTAGCCTCTAAGGAAATAGATAGGGCTGAGATAGGGGAGTGTGTGTGTGTGTGTGTAATGTCTGCCCTGACCCAGATAGCCTAGTCTAGGCTGTTTTCATTAGATCTCAGAAGCTAAGCATGGTCAGCCCTGGTAAGCATTTGGATGGGAGACCACTGAGGAAGACGGAGGCAGGCAATGGCAGATGACCTCTGAGCATCTCTTGCCTCGAAAACCTCATGAGGGGTCTCCACAAGTCAGCGTGGACTTGACGGTCCAAAACAAAACAAGCGTAATGTCTGTCTCTTGCTAGTGTGAGGAAATCTCCAGAATTCTCAAAAGACAGAGCAAAGCTGTCCTGTGTTGTGGGTAGTCAGTCTCTGAGTCTGGATTCAGATTCCCCGGACTTTCTTTTTCTCACGCACAAAGCACTGACCTCGCCCTTGCAGGAGAAGACATCTCCGGATCACCCTTGGCTATTCTGTTGGCGATCCTTTGACAGACCGCTGAAGGTGACACCCTCATTTAAACTGCAGGCTCCTGCATCCTCAGTTTGCCTTGGATTCCTGTGAAGGGAGTTTAACCCTTTGGCTTCCACTGAGATTTAATGGGGGGAATGTATGCTTTTAAAGGATTTGTCTTTTCTCTTTTAAAAAATGAATAGTAGAGTGGGTGGTGGTGGTTTGAGCCAGTTTCAATAGCAAAACCCAGTGAAGGCCAAAGGGTTAAACCCGCTCTCCTTTTCCTGTACAGTCCCTAGGCAAATTGAGACAGCACAAGCCTGCAATTAGGTCAGAGCAAGTTCTCTGTCTCCTCTGTCGAGCCTTGCTTTGGCACCAACAACCAGGGATCAGACATATTTTGTACTAAGGGAATTTGCCTAATTGCATTTGACTGTAATAGCTGGCATTTTGGAACATTTTGAAAAGTGCATGGGTAAGTGGAACACATCTGTCCAGGAAAGGTGCTAGGAGAAAAGCAGCCCTGAAGCTTAGACAAATGGATAGTTCTAGCTCACATTTGCTTGCAAACACTTACGTTATTAACATTCCAAGTTATGGATGCTCTTGGGGGGGAGACCTCCTCAAAGAGGTAGATGTATTGATCTTGGCAAAGTTGATCATTAACATAAGACTGGGTTTAGAATCAATGCAACATTCCTGTGTCTAAATGGAACTTCCAGCATTTATTCATATCCTGTCCTTCTTTGAAGGACCTCAGTGGTAATAGCTAGATGGGATGGTCCAACTTTGTTCCTTGCAGCAACCTTATGAGGTAGATGGAGCCGAGAGAGAATGACCAGCTTAAGGTAGTCCAGTGGGCATCATGGAGTGGAGACCTCAACCCAGATCTTCGGAGTCCTAGTTCAGCATTCTTACCACTGCATCACACTGGGGGCCAGTAAGAATGGCTGGTGGAGGTGTGGGGAGGGCAGTGATGGATAAAGCTCCTCCCCTGCCAGTCCTCTGGGTCATGTTGGTGCCTTACTGGGTCTGGAGTAGTATAAAAAGTCCCCCTGCCCCAGGAGGCTGCTGGGCTTATGCTCGGTAACATGATGCATGTAATGTTCACCCTAAACAGGGAGAGAGGGTGATTTCCCCAAGGGCGTGTGATGAATCCATGATGGAGGTGGGATCTGAACCCAAGACCTGAACCCAGGCTTCTCTCTCTTCTCTCTGCTAATGCTAGGATCGTTCAGTGAAATCACAAACAGTAGATGCAGGCAGGGGTAATTTCATAGGAAAAGAGGTGCAGGAGCTCATTAGCATAACTCATTAGCATAACTTATTTGCATATGCTACACCCCCGACATCACCAGAAGTGTGTCAGAAGGCAACACCCACCGCTCAGGCTCCACTGGACTGTTTTGGATTGCTAGCTACTGGGGGGGGACATGCAGATCTGTCCTCACAGAGGAGGGAGAGCTTGTACCTGAATAAAACTTGGTCTTAAAGGTGCCACTGGACTGTTTTGGACCGGGATGGGGGGTGGGGGGAGCTCTAAAACTTACCTGGCTGCTTCTTGCTCTCACTGAGGGCTGCTGGGAGCAGGGGGTGGGGCTTGTTGCATGTGCCCACCCCCTGGGCTCTTTACTGCCGGAGCTCCGCTCCTGTGCGCTCCTGCAAGAAATGACCCCTGGATGCGGTGCACACGAAATGAAGTAACTTCTTCACAAAGTGCAGAATTAGCTTGTGGACTTTGCAGCCACATGAAGTGGTAGAGATGGCCCCTGCCTTAGACAGCTTTAAAAGGAAGTTTGGCACATTCACAGAAGATTCCCCACCCACAGCCGCTAAATGGAACCTCCTTAGAGGCAGCCTGCTTCCAAATAAGCAGATGCTGGACAGCAAAAAGTGGAATAGGATGATCACTTGTAGGCTTCCTGGCTTGTCATGTTGGAAACAGAATACAGGACGCAAAGTGCCTTTGGTCTGATCCAGCAGGGATCTTGTTCTGGGTTGTTATGCTTTCAAGGGCAACAAAATAGCTTGTTGAACTACCCGTGTTTCCACGAAAATAAGACACTGTCTTATATTTATTTTTTCTCAAGAAGACACACTAGGGCTTATACCACAAATGCATAGAAATCCTGCTAGGGTTTATTTTTGGGGTAGGTCTTATTTTCGGGGAAACAGGGTAGCTGTCCACAACTTCTCCTTTGTCCATTCGATAGATGGCACCACTGTACCCAGCGAGGAAGACCGGAAAAAGATTCTCACCCAGATGAAAGTGAAGACGACACTTAGAAACGACAAGAGCTGGATCCAGAAGAAGTCAGACTCAGAGGAGGAGAAGAATCATAGTCCATTGTGAGTAGAAGCATCCAGCTGCCTGATCCACTCAACAGGATTTACACCCATGACTGTGGCTCTGTCTGCCACAACTGGGGCTCTATCCCTTGAGAAGCTGCCCAGTGATAACATCTCCATCTCCTCCGACATTGCAAAGAAAAGTTCTCAAGGGAACAAATAGCATACCTTGCGTTGTGTGTGCTGCCATGGTATACAAACAGCCCTGCTTACAAAAGAAAGCAGTGACTCGCCAGACAATAACTTCTGGAAGATATTGGCATGCCATTGACCATCTGAAGCAATGAAGACAGTTCTCTGAAAGCACAGGCTTTGCCAGGATCATGGACTCCCCACTCACTCACCTGTTCAAATTGCTCTTAGGGTCATACTGGACGTGCCGGAGATCACTGATCGTCTTGTCCGGTGGTCCCCAGCATGGTGTTCTCTGATGTGTTTTCTGGCATTCACTTGCTTCTTCCATAAAGCGCCTCCTTCCCAAACCACAGAACCAATCCTAACTTTCCTCCACCTTTCCTCCAGCCCAACTTTCCTCCACCATCCTAACTTTCCTCCAGCCCCTCACATCGGGGGCAGCTGGGAGCACCTATCCAAAAAACAGAGTGATGCGTGGATTGGAGGCTCCCAGCATTTTTATAGCAGCCTCCCATAGCGGCCATTTTGTAATTAGCCCCAAGCTCCCGTGGCAGCCATTTTGTGGGTAGCACCCCCTACCCTCTCTCAAAATTCTCAGTGTGCCCACAGACTCAACAAGGTTGAGAGGACCCCCAGTCTTCTCAAGGCAAATCACAGTTGCTCATAGACCCAATTCAAAATGGTTTAGCCCTTCCACCCCCACATGATTTTGCTGATCAGATTCACCCATCCTGCGCACGATTAACTTTTTAAAGGGGAAAAAAAGAGAAGGTGCTCATGTTTTACATTTTTAAGGACTAAAACAGCATGAGTAGACCGGTTTTGATTTGTGAACCCATGGAGGTAAAAGGGTGACATACTTCCCCATGCGACCCCAATCTGACTTGGGATCATGTATTGGTATATCTGGTATGTTTCTAGGAACTCAGAGTAGGGCACACATTTCTTTCTTCACATTTTATCCACACAACAACCCTGTGTGGTAGGAGAGGCTGGGAGAGAATGATTGGTCCATGGCCACTCAGTGAGCTTCATGGTAGGGTGGGGATTTCACACCCGGGTCTCCCAGGTCCTAGGTCTGACTTGGGACCATGTATTGGTATATCTGGTATGATTCCAGGAACTCAGAGTAGGGTACACATTTCTTTCTTCCACATTTTATCCACACAACAACCCTGTGTGGTAGGAGAGGCTGGGAGAGAATGATTGGCCCATGGCCACTCAGTGAGTTTCATGGTAGGGTGGGGATTTCACACCCGGGTCTCCCAGGTCCTAGTTCAACACCTTAACTTCAACACAACATAAGACCACAAGAGAACATAAGAGAAGTCAATGTTGGAGCGGGCCAATGGCCCATCCAGTCCAACACTCTGACACACAGTGGCCAAAAATACCAGGTGCCATCAGGAGGTCCAGCAGTGGGGCCAGGACACTAGAAGCACTCCCACTGTTGCCCCCCCTCCCAAGCACCAAGAATACAGAGCATCACTTGCCCCAGACTGAGAGTTCCTATCAATACCTTGTGGCTAATAGCCACTGATGGACCTCTGCTCCATATCCAATTCCCTCTTGAAGCCGTCCACGCTTGTAGCTGCCACTACCTCCTGTGGCAGTGAATTCCATGTGTTAATCACTCTTTGGGTGATTATAACTGAGTTCCAAAATATGCTGGGAAGAGCTGCTTATGGAACTTCCTGAGTTTTTATCTGTTTTTACCCTTAGATTGAGGGTATCTTGACCATATAAATATATATTGACTATATAAATAAATAAATAGCCAGATAGAACCCTTCAAGCCAAGTAACTAACTCAAATTCTGTTGGTCTCCAAACTCTCATGCCACACGAACAAGGCTTGTTTACCAGGAATGTTGGTGCCCAACTCAACAAGAGCAAAGTGTATCTGACCAGGTTTGTTATTGCGCTGATATCTTTCTTTTATCTCTCTTCTCCCCTCCCCCCTCCTATCAGGCATTCACCTTTAAGGAGCAGGAAGACCAACCAGAGATCGCCTGTCTCAACCAAAGTTTCGCCTCTAAATCACAGGTGATTGTGGGCATCTCGTGGACCTCACCTCATTCATGATTGGAAGAGATCTATCCGTTCGTGATGCTAGATATGGGGTGTGATAGCAGATGTCTACCAATCCTCTAGTCCTGTTTGTTTGCTTTTTGAGGAGTAGGATGGTATTAGACAGTTGTCAAGATCTGTGTTCCCTTTTCTAGACGCAAAATCAGAACCAGCCCAGGGGTTTGCTCTGGGCCCTTTGTGCTTTTCTACTCTGCGCTTCTGGACTACATATTTATCAAAAGAGCTCTCCGGATTGGAATGTTCCCTATTTTAATGGGAATGTTATGATGCCGTGTGCCGTGAAGGGATTATGTTCTCTAAGCTTCTGCATAGCCTAATGCTTATTTAATGGCCTTTGATTTCTTTCTCATTGTTCAAGAAGGAAAACATAACACGCATACCTACACACCAGGTTATCCGTCATGCAACAAAGCTTTCTCCTGCCCCACTGAGGCACAGGACGGCCATCACTCAGTGGCAGAGTATCTGCTTTGGATGCAGAAGGCCTCAGTTTCAATCCCCGAGGTCTCTTTCTCATGTAGCAGGGCTGGGAAAAGCCTATGCACAAGCCCTTGGGTGATGGCTTACCTGTCGGAGGAGGCTGGGCTGAGCTCGGTAGCCAGGTGTTCATATGCTCTGTTCAGCAGCCAATAGCCCCACAACCTTCCAGCCATCAAAGGCTGGTTATTGAAAAGTTTATCTGAAAAGTTTATCTCTTGACGCAGCACCACAGCATTCCCTTTCTGCCATGCACTTGCGATGCATATCCTGCCCTCATGTTAATATCCTTATCCTGATGGTATTGCTCTCCTGTTCTCCCAGGGCAGTCTTTGAAGAGCTGGCTGCTCAAGCCGAACAACCATTACCGGTGGCCAGCAAACCTCCCAAAAAGTAAGTTGCCCTTTTCATTGCCAGAAACACACTACAGCTTAAAAAGGGGGGGGGGGAGAAAACCTCCTTATATCTAAAGTATTGTTTGGCTTTGCGTATTGTATCAGGGCATTTCAGTCTGTGCTTATTGTTATTCGCCGCTGAGACCACCGATATGTATTTTTTTCCCCATGTCTTGATAAGCAAGTTGGCCAAAATGTAATAAGTCATTGCATGACAAAGTGGACCGGTCTTCAGTCTTTGGCATATGAAGAATCTTCACAGTGCCCCGCAGTCTCTTCCTCCTATGGAAGTTCCCCCGGCTAGGCAATTCATCGAAGTGTGGCCAGGTTCCATTGAAAGTTTTGTAGGCAGGCACACAAAAAAACCACCACACTTTATGGTCTAGACTGTAGACAGGGTGAGGCACAAGCCTTGCTGAAAGAGGGGTAAGTGTGCATGTGCTTAGCACATTTCCCTTCTAAAACAGAGACAAAAGAATTGCAGTGGCTATGCTTCAACACTGATAAGAAGCAGCGCACAGTCTATAAAGAACAATCAAAAGTAGTCCTGAAATTCAGGGACGCTGGGGATCTTATAGTTGTACACAGCTTCTTTTTTTAAAAAAAGTGGCAATAAAGGTAAAGGTTTCCCTTGCTTGAAAGCCAGTCGAATCCGACTCTAGGGGGCTATGCTCATCTCCGTTTCCAAGCCAAAGAGCCGGCACTGTCCGAAGACTTCTCCGTGGTCATGTGGCCGGCATGACTCAACGCCAAGGCTCATGGAACGCTGTTACCTTCCCACTGAAGTGGTACCTGTTTATCTACTTGCAATGTCTTGCTCTCGAACTGCTAGGTTGGCAGGAGCTGGGGCCAGAGACGGGAGCTCACTCCGTCACACGGCACTCGGGTCTCGAACTGCTGAGCTACAGACCTTCCGGTCTGCAACTCAGTGACTTAACCTCTGAGCCCTCTTACTCTTCAGTACAAACAGTTCATGCTCTAACAAAGTTCTTACTATGAGTATTGAGAATAAAATGTAATGATTAAACTTTCTGAAAACAATAGAGGTATTTGGAGATGGCATGGGTACTGTCCAGTGGGAGCTTGTGAGATGTGAGTAGCCAGTCTATGGAACACCATCATAGTGGAGATGCAAGATGTCTCCTTGAACACTTGGAAAATGCAGGTATCCTACAACAACAGTACTTTTTTGGAGGTGAATATCTGGATTCTTTCAGCAACTCAGAAGCCCCTGTGGATTCATTTCTCCAAAGCTGTATGTCTGGAGAAGTCCAAAGACTTGCTGGGGCATCCTAAGCAGACATACCCTTCTGTTGATGTAATTCCATTTAGGAAGGCACTGTTAATGCCTCTGTTATCTTTTTATCCATTTTGGAAACCATTTGTTTCTGTTTTGCATTCAGGTCCCACAACACAACAGCATCTACCGGTTATCTCATCAGGTAAATGTACCAAACTCGAAAGGGCAAGGAAGGGGTTGCATCCTGCTTGTGATGGGAAACGTGTCTCTTGGAGTTAATTTACCTTCTCTCTTCCCTGTAGAGGAGTTTTTACCAAGACTGTTGATACGAGTGCTCCTTCAGACACAGTCTCCAATGGCTCAGACAAAAGGTCAGTCTGGTGCGCTGCTCCCTGATGGTTAGCAGCTTTGTGTATTTGGTGTACTTGGGTATCCTTATAGTTGTGAGATTGCTGTCTGAATGACTGCTGTGATTGAATTCCAGAGGTAGGGTTGCCAGGTCTCACCTTCGTCTCAGCAGGGGGCTCCAGCCTGGCTCCCAGGGTCTTCTGGCACACATGCAATGACATCACCCAGAAGTGATGTCATTTGGGAGACGCTCTAGCATTTGGGTAAAAAACCTCTATGGTGGCCATAGAGGGGTTTTTTTACCCAAATGCTAGAACGTCCTCCAAACGATGTGCCCAGGGCAATGATGTCACCTCCAGGTGATGTCATTGTGCTGGGCACGTCAGGCGTGACGGGGCTCTTCGGAGGTGGGGCACCCCCCGCCAGCCAGCTGGCCAGTGGCAGATTGGGGGCCTCGAAAGTGGGGGGGAACCACCCCCATCAGGGGGGATGGCAACTCTATTCAGAGGGTAGCCATGTTGGTCTGCAGTAGAACAGCTCGGTTGAAGTCCAGTAGCATCTTAGAGACCAAGAAGATTTTTTGGCATATAACCAGGGCTATTTTGGGGCAGGAACACACAGGAACGGAGTTCCGGCTGGCTCCCAAGTTGGCCACGCCCAGCAGGAACTCATTAGCATAACAGGTCACACCCAAGAGCAGAAACACATTACATTAGGGGTGTGTGGCCTAACATGCAAAGGAGTTCCTGCTCCAAAGAAAGGCCCAAACAATGTCAACAAAATAAGAAGCAAAAGGTGGGTGTGGCTGGATGACCACACTTCTGGTAACATGGTTGTGTGGCCTAATATGCTAATAAGCTGTGCTGTCAGGGCTGTGGCCTATTATGCTAATGAGTTCCTGCTGGGCTTTTTCTACAAAAAAAGCCCTGCATATAACTTTCGAGAGGCCAAGCTCTCTGTGTCAAATATGTCAAAGCTGTGGTATCTGACGAAGGGAGTGTTGACTTTCAAAAGCTGATATCCTGGTTGGTCTCTAAGCTGCGACTGGATCCGAATCTAGCTGTTCTGTCACTGTGGGGAGTCAGGAGGCCTTTGACAACAGAATATGAATGTCCCTGAATGCCTGTAAGTGATTTCTCAACGGGAGGTAATTGTCTGGAGATGGTATCCTGATAACTCCCTTATTCAAGGACCGATCAGAGCCTGAAGAAAGTGGCAGTCAATGGGGAGTTAGGGCTTTTGACCACAGAACAGTTTATGTTCCTTAATGGCTGCAGATGTTTTTCTCAATGGGAGCTGATTTTCGGGAGATCGCTTCCAGGTAGCCCTCTTACTCATGGAGGTATCAGAGCTGGGAGAGGGGAGAAAGCCAATGTGTGTGTGTGTGTGTGTGTGTGTATGTGTGCGTGCAGGGAGGCACAAAGGCAATCTGCAACTTAAGTCTGGATGCAACACAGACAGAATCAGAGACAGAGACATGAATTGATTAAAAAGTGAAGGGTGTGCATGAGTCCATTTGTGTCTCTGTCAATGAAGCACATATTACAAAGATACAGGGTGGGTGGGAAGGAGTCTCACCTTAAAGATGAACGGATGCTTATGCTACCATAATTAAATAAGCGGGAGCCCCACGGCACTTTACAAACTCACCCATTTCCAGGGGTCATTTCATAGAAAAAGAGGTGCATGAGCTCATTAGCATAACTCATTAGCATAACTTATTTGCATATGCCACACCTCCTGACATCACCGGACGTTTGTCAGAAGGCACCACTGGACTGTTTTGGATTGCTAGCTATTGGGGGAAGGGGCATGCAGGTCTGTTCTCGCAGAGGAGGGAGAGCTTGTACCTGAATAAAACTTGTTCTTTAAGGTACCACTGGACTGTTCTGGACCAGGGGGAGCTCTGCAACTTACCTGGCTGCTTCTTTCTCTGACTGAGGGATGGTGGGAGCAAAGGGTGGGGCTTGTTGCATGTGCCTGCCCCCTGGGCTCTTTAGTGCCGGAGCTCCACTCCTGTGCGCTCCTGCAGGAAATGACCCCTGCCCATTTCTATTCTACCCTAAGCTTCTGTGGTGAGCCCTGACCTGGCTGGCCCAGGCTAGCCCCATCTCATGAGGTCTCAGAAGCTGAGCAGGGTCAGCCCTGGTTAGTAGATGGATGGGAGACAGCAAAGGAAGTCCAGGGTTGCTATGCAGAGGCAGCCCATGGCCAACCACCCCTGTGTGTCTCTCCCCTTGAAAACCTTACGGGGTCACCGTAAGTCAACTGTGACTTGATGGCACTTTCCACCAGTGCCAAGCTTTCACAGACTAGCCTACACTGCACTTCATCAGATGCATGGGCCCTCACGAGGCAGACATACATCCATGAGTTTTTGAAGGGGGAAAGGAGTTGGAAACGGCAGGATCAAAGGGCCATGAACTGCAGGAACCACAGGGGGAAATGTAATAACATAAAATTCAAATGTAATTAAGAAAAGTATAGAGGACTGTATCCTACCTGAGGCTGGAGAAAGTTCCTCCAGCTAAAAAGCTTAAGTGGCTCTTCTTACTTCTGCTGGAGACAGAGCCACTTAAGTAGGAGGGAAGACTCCTTAGGCTGGAGGAAGGTTTGAAACTTGGCTCAGTGCAGTGATGGAATGCAGGCCACTCCACCTGATGCATCTAATGAAGTGGGCGCTAGGCCACCCGAATGTATACCAGAACACAGGGGTCAATTCGTAGAAAAAGAGGTGCAGGAGCTCATTAGTATAACGCATTAGCATAACATTTGCATATGCCACACCCCCTGATATCACCGGAAATGTGTCAGAAGGCAACACCCACCGCTCAGGCTCCACTGGATTGTTTTGGATTGCTAGCTATTGGGGGGGGGGGACGTGCAGATCTGTCCTCGCAGAGGAGGGAGAGCTTGTGCCTGAATAAAACTTGGTCTTAAAGGTGCCACTGGACTGTTTTGGACTGGGGGGCTCTGCAATTTACCTGGCTGCTTCTTGCTCTGACTGAGGGCTGCTGGGAGCAGGGGGCTCTTTACTGCCGGAGCTCCGCTCCTGTGCGCTCCCGCAGGAAATGACCCCTGCTAGAACGTATACATTTGTTTTTGGGGTGCCAATAGACTCTTGCGTCTTTTAGTTTGCTCTGCCTGCTTCTGCAGACTACCCCATGACTATTCTCTGGGATTAATCTTTCAAGGGCATCTAGACTCCTTTTTGCGTTTGGCACAACGGAGTGATACACCTGCACCCCTTGAATATGTATAGGTCCCCAAATTTCCGGTTTGCTCTCCTCCAAAGAAAACCAACCCACTTAGAACACCTAGGTTTGAGTCCAGTAGCAGCTTACAGACCAACAAGATTTTTGGGATATAAGCTTTTGAGAGTCAAAGCTGCCTTTGTCAGGTACAAAGATCGGACAAAGGGAGCTACCAGGGCTTTTTTTGTAGAAAAAGCCCAGCAGGACCTCATTAGCATAATAGACCACACCCAACAGCAGAAACGCATTAGCTTATTAGGGCACACCCCTGACAACACATCTCATTAGCACATTAGGCTCCCCCCCCATGTTACCAGAAGTGTGGTCATCCAGCCACACCCACCTTTTGCTTCTTATTCTGTTTACCTTGTTTGTTGTCAAAACCCAGGGCTTTTTTTGTAGCAGTAACTCCTTTGCATGTTAGGCCACACACCCCTAATGTAGCCAATCCTATTGAGTTTCTGCTGTTGGGTGTGGCCTATTATACTAATGAGTTCCTGCTGGGCGTGACCAACTCCGGAGCCAGCCGGAACTCCGTTCCTGTGCGTTCCTGCCCAAAAATAGCCTGGGAGCTACAATTCTTAAAAGCTTATACCCCAAAATCTTGTTGGTCTATGGCTGCCAACCTCCAGGTGTTAGCTGGCGATCTCCTGGGATTACGACGACTGATCTCCAGGTGATCGAGGTCCGTTCACCTGGAGAAAATAGCTGCTTTGGAAAATGGACTCTATGGCAGTGTACTTGCTGAAGCCCCTCCCCTCCCCAAACCCCACCCTCCTCAGGCTCCACCCCCAAATCTCCAGGCTGGAGCTGGCAACCCTGTGTTGGCCTCTAAGCTGCTACTGGACTCAAATCGAGCTGTTCAACTACAGACCAGCAGTGCCACCCTCTGAAACCCAGGCCGAATTTCCTCCCAGAACGTCCCATGACATGGGACAAACAGGGAAGTGTGTAATGCCGTGATCCAGACCTCAGTTCTTTGAAACGGCAACCTATCCAGATCGCTCGTGACATGATGGATGTAACTTTAGGCAATAAGCAGTGTGGGTGGCCCGAGTATATCTGACGATCTTTGGGTATTTTTGCTTCCAGCGCCAAGAGTGCCAGCTCTGCTCCTGGGTACAAGATGTCAACCGAGGAGTATAAGAAACTGTGAGTGTGCCAAGAGGGGTTTTCTGCCCACTAATGAAGGAACCCTAGGCAGCTGCGTCGATCTCCCTGGATCAAAACAGGCACATGCCAGAGAGCCCTCAGATTACTCATCGTGATCCTCTGAGTTCAAAGAGCAGTCTGAGGACCTGGCTTAAAATTTGTTCAGAGAAGAAAAAGGAGAGATGCACTTCAAACATAGTAGAGATAATTCTCCTTTACCTAAACAGCTTCCTATAGCCCCGGGATATATAACCCCGTGGTATAATCGTTAGAGTGCTGGGCTGGGATCCAGAAGACCCAGGTTCAAATCCTCCCACTATCATGGAGATTGCTGGAGGGTGACTGTTGGCTAGGCTTCCTCTCTCAGCCTCATGGACCACACAGGGTTGTTGTGAAGGGAAAATGGAGAAGGGAGAACAATATACATCTTAGAGGAAGGGTGGGATAAAAATACACCAAATAGTCCTCAAAGCCCTTCCAAGGCCGAGATTAATCAGTGATTGTACCTGCATTCAGATGTAACAACACACTATGCTTTTTCATTAGAAGAATGAGCCTCTTTCTCTCAAACCACAGTTTGCTATCATGTCTCTGAAAACCATAGTTTGCTATCATGTCCAAACCACAAACTAAAGTTCGTTTCTTGACTACAAACCAGGGTTAAGATACAGTTAATCCTGGTTTGTAGGCGATTTAATCCTGGTCTGAAATCTTGATTTGTAAGAGACAAGCCGTAGTTTGTGGCTCAGATGCCATGAGAAGTTCTGGTTTGTTACAACTGCGGGGGGAGGGGGGAGCACAAATACAAAGAAAAGAAGAAAACTAGTGGTGCAGTGGGAAAAATATTTTTATTATTTTTCACGCAAAGATCCCTAAACCGCAAAGTCTTCAGTTGCTGAGAGAAATCAAAAGGTGGAATGAGAGAGACTGAGGGCTCCCAAGGCATGTTCTCGTAACAGCAAATTGTGGTTTGTTCTTATGTCTGAATGCAACCAATGGCTGGCTTCAGGCCGCCAGAGGGTTTCTCACCTGAGGTGAGATTTGAACCAGGGACATTCTCACCTTCTTAGGAACTAGAAAACACTAGTTCAGGGGATTGCATGGCAGTTAAAGAACCATTTGGGGGCTTGAGAGGACTACTGCAAGAGAAATTGTAGTGGTTAGTGGACGATGTGCAGGCCCTATTACCAGCTGTTGACTCCAGCGTGATCTTTCAAAGGAAAGTGAAAAAGTTGAGCCATTCTAAGAACCCGTGTGGTACTCATAATCTAGGCCTGTGAACCTGTGGAAAATGCAATTCATATATCTCCACCAGCATGGATTGGACATACATGCACAGTGTCAATACTTGTAGCTGTCGAATGCCCCGGTCATGTCATACGCTCTGCTTAATGCACTTTGCTCCCTATCACTGGTTTGGGGGCTACTGCAGAGATGAGATACCTAGCCTTGACCTGCCTCTCCTTTCCTGTCTGTGCTCCAGAGCTCCCTACAATGTCAAGCGGGACACAGTGCCAGTTCACGTGGATTCCCCCGTTTCTCCAGATGAGCAGCAAAAGAGGTATCTGGTCACAGTCACTGCTCCTGTGCAAATGTCTGAATCATTAATGTGGTCAAATATGGTTGAAAGGAGCTCTTCCCCCTCCCCCTTTCCACTCTGATATTTTACTGGGGTAGAAAGTCCCATGAACAAAATGCTTCCATATGGGCTTACTTCTGTACCCTGAATCTGGGCTGTATCAATTCAGAGTGTGGGTGGGGGCTCACATGGTGAAAGGCTCTGCCATATTATATAATTTCCTCCATGTAGAAATCTAAACGTTAGGGATAAGGACTGCAGTCTGGGTGGAATTTGGGGGGAAACTCTATAGCAAAAACGGTTTCTACCATAGAGTTTTTGCCCAGATACCAGAGGATCACCTGGATGTCACTGGCGTAACATCACTCCCAGTGTCCCCTCTAAGCTGAGTTAGTGTGAGCTAGCGCACAGCTTTTTAGCCTCCGTCTCACTCATTTTGGTCTTAGCTCAGGAAGGAAGCTCAGAGCGAACTAATTTATGCAGAAGTCAAATTGCTTCCTCGGAACTTTAATGCCACTAGCTCACAAAGCGGAATTTTTGCTCACAAGACTCCACAGCTTAGAGGGAGCATTGGTCACTTCCTGTGCGACACCAGCTGCATGGCCGGGGTCTTCCTCTTTCTCCTGGTAAGTCCCCCTGCTGGCCAGCTGACTGGCAGCTGGGGGACGAGGCCTGGTGGTGGGGACCCCCGCATCTGCCAGGGGGTCTGGCAACCCTAACGCCCATGCAGTTTATGTACTGTGTCCAAGTTGGGAAAAGACACGTGTAGGTGGGGGTGGGTCAGAGCCATCACATTCTGTCCCACTGTCTCTTCAGGGTGGTCCTCTAGGTATGGTCCCTTCTGAAAAAGTCACAGACAAAAAAGAGGGCAACAGTTGTACAAACGCTGCATACGTTACTTTGCGCGCATAGATTTACATGTAATTAACATATTTAAACTCGCCACACTCACGGCCAGCTGTGCTTGGAGCGGAGCTCGGCGCCAGTCACGCCAGCATTGACAAAAGGTTCTTCAGCCTTAAAAACAAACCAAAAAACCCCCCCTTCAGCTGACTTTGCTGGACAAAAGCAGAACCTCAACCTGTCTAAGGATAGACCTCAAAAAAGAGGACTACTCTCTGGGGAAGAGGACATCTGGTCCCCTCAGCATGGTCCCCTGTACCTCAGCGTCTATGTCCTCCCTCCTTCCAGGCTCTTTTCTGTCAGCCTAGTTCTAACATTAGAAGTTAGTCAGGCTGGAGCATAAAGTGTGTGTGGGGGGAAGCGGTCCGTGGCCAGCTCCTCTAGGGTTGCCAGCAAGGCTCCCTCTAAGATATGGAGTCCTATGAGCAAAAATTCTACTTTGTGAGCTACTGGCATTAAAGTTGTGAGCAAGTGATTTGGCTACTGCATAAATTAGCTTGCTCTGGAGCCATCCTTCCTGAGCTAAGACAAAAAAATTAGAAGTTAGTCAGGCTGGAGGATAAAGTGTGTGTGGGGGGAAGCGGTCCATGGCCAGCTCCTCTAGGGTTGCCAGCAATGCTCCCTCTAAGATATGGAGTCCTATGAGCAAAAATTCTACTTTGTGAGCGACTGGCATTAAAGTTGTGAGCAGGCGATTTGGCTACTGCCTAAATTAGGTTGCTCTGGAGCCCTCCTTCCTGAGCTAAGACAAAAATGTGTGAGCCAGAGGCTAAAAAACTGTGAGCTAGCTCACACTAACTCAGCTTAGAGGGAACACTGGTTGCCAGCCTCCAGGTGGTGGCTGGAGATCTCCTGGGATTACAATTGATCTCCAGGCGACAGAAATTTCACCTTGAGAAAACAGCCACTTTGGAAAGTGGACGCTGTGGCATTATAGCCCATTGTCAGTCCCTCCCCTCCTCAAACCCTGCCCTCCTCAGGCTCCACCCACCCAAATCTCCAGGCATTTTCCATCCTGGAGATGGCATCGCTCAGCTCCTCACATTTTTTAGCCTTTCTTTTTACTTGTAAAACTGAGACATTCCAACATACTCTGAGCTATTGGGCCTGACACAAATGGGGGCAGGCTGATGTGTGAATAAAGCATATGGCTGCCCGTCTTGGCTAGTTCGCCCTCGAGCCTGAGCAGTCGGCCCCCGGCTGGGGCACTGATGTCGGGAGTGGTCCTGTCAGAAGCCTGTGACCTGCCTTTCCCCTTCCCTCGCAGGACTGAAGCTGCCAGCAGTGTGCTCAGGCACACAGCCCGCAAGGAACGCTCCTACGTCCTTTCAGCTGCGAAGAAGAGCAATGGGTAAGTCTGAGGGGTGGAAAGGGGGGGAAGCCGAGAACAATAAGGGCTGCAGCTTGAGGCCTAATCCAATTCAAGACCAGCTGCTGTGCTGAGTCTAGCGGGGTGTAAAAAATGCCAGCAGCCTTCTGTTTTGATCTCGAACGGGGGCTTCCTCTTTTGAGACATTTTAACCTCCACTCCCGCCCAGGTACAAAAGACGTGTTGCATCGGGTGGACTCCAGGTTTGCAAATTTCCTGGAGATTTAGGAATGGCGTCTGGGGTGTGAGCTTGGCAAGGATGTGGTGCCACAGAGTCCACCCTCCGAAGCAGCCGTTTTCTCCAGAGGAACTGAGCTCTGCTGTCTGGGGACCAGTTGTAATTCTGGGGGGGATTCCAGGTAGGGATGCCAGCCTCCAGGTGGGACCTGGGGACCTTCCAGAGTTATAGTTTATCTCCAGGCTGCAAGGACCAGTTCCCCTGGATAAGGTGGATTCTTTGGAGGGTGGAGTCTATGGCTTCCCAACCTGGATTTGGCAACCTGGCCCCACAATCCCCCACCTGGCTCCACCTCGATGTTGGCAACTAGGGTTACCAACTCCAGGTTTGGAAATATTTGGCTATTCCAAAGGGTGGAGCCTGGGGAAGATGATTTTGGACAGGGGAGGGACGTCAGCCGGGTACGGGACCATAGAATCCACCCTCCAAAGCAGCCATTTTCTCCAGGGGAGCCGATCTCTGTTGTTCTGCTGTTAATTCTGGGAGATTTCCAGGCCCCACCTGAAGGTAAATTACTAGAGTCCCGTGGGACTAGTGACAGTGATACTGACAAGGTGCTGTCTGAATGTAAACCTGCGCTCGACGTGTTGTTTGGGTGAAACATATTTTTCTCTGAGTATTGTTTGGGTCCGATGGCTCAAGTGGTTAAGATGCTGCACTGCAGGCTGTGGAAGGTCAGTAGTTCAGCAGTTCGAGACCCAGGTGCCGCAAGATGGAGTGAGCTCCCGTCTCTGGCTCCAGCTCCTGCCAACCTAGCAGTTCGAAAGCAAGAAATTGCAAGTAGATAAATAGGTACCACTTCGGTGGGAAGGTAACAGCGTTCCGTGCGCCTTGGTGTTTAGTCATGCCGGCCACATGACCACGGAAATGTCTTCGGACAGCGCTGGCTCTTCGGCTTTGAAACAGAGATGAGCACCGCAACCCTAGAGTCGGACTCGACTGGCTTTCGAGCAAGGGAGACCTTTACCTTTTTATTGTTTGGGTGAAATATATTTTTTGATCATATCTGATACCAATATTTAGACAACAGTATTGAAAAATATAAAAAGACAAAGAATAAAGCATAAAACTGTTCTACCATAAAGACATATTTATTGTACGCAGTGATATATATTTTTGTGTGCCCATCTGAAGACTGTCAACTCTGCTCCAGGTGGGGCCTGGGGCTCCAGGTGGGATTACAACTGGTGTCCGTACGACCGAGAGCGGTTTCCCTGGAGCTAATGGCTGCTTTGGAGGGTGACATTGTACCCCACTGAGCCCCCCCCTTTCCCCCAAATCCAAACCAGGCTCCATCCCCAAATCTCCAGGATAGGTTTGCTAGGTCCCTCCAGCAGGAAATGGGGGGACTTACCGGGAGCAGTAGGGAGGCCCATCTGATGTGCAGCGACATGCCCCTGTGATCTGGAAGTGACATCACCAGGCCCAGGACGTTGGGACAGCGCTCTAGCATTTGGGTAAAAGCTCTATGGTAAATTTCGCTTCTACCAAATTACCCAAATACCAGAGCATTGCTCCGATGTCCCAGATGTGATGACATCACTTCCAGGTCATGTGGGCAGCGACGTAGACAAATTGCTGCACGTTGGATGGAGCTCCCTCTTTTTCGGGGTAAGCCCCCTTCGGCTGGCCAGATGATCGGCGGCGGGGAGGTGGGCCATGACAGTGGGTGACCCTCATCTCCGCCAGGGGGTCTGGCAACCCTTCTCCAGGAGTCTCCCAACCCAGGGCTGGCAGCCCTAAATGTAGGCCTCAGACTCTGGAGGGCCACGGTGATGTAGTGGTTATTGTACTGGGCTAGGATAAGAACTGAGCTGCAGTGGCTCAAGTGGTTAAGACACTGAACTGCAGGCTGTGGAAGGTCGGTAGTTCAGCAGTTCGAGACCCGAGTGTGCCGCATGACGGAGTGAGCTCCCGTCTCTAGTTCCAGCTCCTGCCAACCTAGCAGTTCGAAAGCAAGAAATTGCAAGTAGATAAATAGGTACCACTTTGGTGGGAAGGTAACAGCGTTCCGTGCGCCTTGGTGTTCAGTCATGCCGGCCATATGACCACGGAAACGTCTTTGGACAGCGCTGGCTCTTCGGCTTTGAAACGGAGATGAGCACCGCAACCCTAGAGTCGGATTCGACTGGCTTTCGAGCAAGGGAACCTTTACCTTTACCTTTAGGATAAGAACATAAGAACATAAGAGATGCCAGTGCTGGATCAGGCCAAAGGCCCATCCAGTCCAACACTCTGTATCACACAGTGGCCAGAAATACCAGTGCCATCAGGAGGTCCTCCAGTGGGGCCAGGACATTAGAAGCCCTCCCACTGTTGACCCCCCCCAAGCACCAAGAAGACAGAGCATCACTTGCCCCAGAGCCCCTATCTATACCTTGTGGCTAATAGCCACTGATGGACCTCTGCTCCATATGCTTATCTAATTCCCTTTTGAAGCCGTCCATGCTTGTAGATGCCACCACTTCCTGTGGCAGTGAATTCCATGTGTTAATCACTCTTTGGGTGAAGAAGTACTTCCTTTTATCCGTTCTAACCCGACCGCTCAGCAATTTCATGGAGTGCCCACGAGTTCTTGTATTGTGAGAAAGGGAGAAAAGTACCTCTTTCTCTACCTGCTCTTTCCCATGGATCTGGGAGACTCAGGTTCAGATCCCTTTTCTTCAATGGAAGCCGCCTGGGTGAGTCTGGGCCAGTCACAAACTCTCACCCGAACCCACTTCACAGTGTGGGTGTTGTGAGGATGCAGTGGAGGAGAGGAGAATGATGCCGTCAGCTGCTTTGAGTTCCCATTGGGGCAAAGTATCCTCAAGCAGGGAGATAAATATCTGAATAAATAAATAGAAGGTACCTGATTGCTAAAGCGGAGCAGGCCTCTAGGCCCAGGCGAGAAATTTATTGATCAGGGAAATTTATGCTGACTCTCTGGAGTCCTGCTCAAAGTGACCTGCAAGTGAGAACATTAAAAAATAATAATAATACTAAAATGATGTTAACTATGAGCAGTGTTCCCTCTAAGCTGATTCAGTGTGAGCTAGCTCACAGTTTTTTTAGCCTCCAGCTCACACATTTTTGTCTTAGCTCAGGAAGGATGGCTCCAGAGCAAATTTATGCAGTAGCCCAATTGCTCGCAACTTAAATGCCAGTAGCTCACAAAGTAGAATTTTTGCTCACAAGACTCCACAGCTTAGAGGGAACATTGACTATGAGCCACTGAAAAACAAACCCGGAACATAAAGGCAGCATAAAGACACCAGACCAGAAGCAGACCATAAACAAATGGAAAGATAAAAACTTTCAGTAACAAGCCTGGGTAAAAAAGAAATGTTTGGGCCTGGTGCCTGAAAGGCAGTACAGAAGCTTTTTGCAATGGGGCATGGGCGGGCGCCGGATGTCACCGGAAACGCGATCAGATGCCCACCCTTGCCCAGCGGTTTCTGGAAACTAGTACCTCCGAGATACTAGTTGTTTACCGCGCGTCTTCGGCGGGAAGCCTCGGGTGAGCCACGGGAGCTCTACGCTTCCCAGATGTGGCGGTAAGATCGCGCCCGGAAAATCCGCCTATTTTCCATCCCTCTAGCGTGGCTAATGCTCCATGTGACCGGGGCCATAATATACTATAAAAGAACCCTACATGGATCTGGTCCCTTCAGCCAATCCCATCTCAGAGTATCTTGAGGGATAAGCAGACAGATATCCATGGGTGCCATACTGCCACTGCTCTATTTCCTGTTAACTGTTTGATTGTTGGTTTGGGGGATAAAATCCAAAAGGTCTTCTAAAAAATAAAAACCAGACAGCTTTCATTCACTCACTTCCAAATGACTGACAAGCCCATCCTGGGCAGGGCTGGTGGGTCACAGCAACATGCTCTTGGCTTGACTAAATCTAGACTTTCCATGTGTCCATGCAGGGAACAGCCCCTCGCCTCCCTTTATTTATTTATTTGAACTTTTACCCCACCCTCCCAGCCAAAGCCAGCTCAGGGCGGCTTACAAAACAGATAATTACATTAAAAACATAAGTTAGGAGTAAAACAATTCTAAAAGCATGGTAAAGTGCTAGTAATCATTGTTATCCATAAACGGTAGCAGCCATCATTTACAGTTCTCGGCTCGCCGTCAGCTCACAGTATTCATTTTAGTTGTCCTGCCCCTGTTACCTGCCTTCACTTTGGTGAGCAGCAGGGGTGGGGTGGGGGCTGGAGCAGCATTCAGTGATGTAATGATGCAATTTCAACTGCATAATCGGAAATAAAGTCACCAGACACTTTAGCCTTTATTTATTTATTTATTTGAACTTTTACCCCACCCTTCCAGCCAAAGCCGGCTCAGGGCAACTTACAAACTAGGGTTGTTAAGTCGCTCACGTGGTGCGGCGGGGGGGGCCTCGGCC